ACAATATTAGAATAAAATAAATATTGCTTGAATAAATGTTCACCTCCTTGGGGTACTTTTTGAGAAGATAATATGTTCAACTGTTTAATGCAGTTACTACTAAGAAAGGAATATTCGAGAAGTGACTCTATCTAAATACTTGGTAAATATTGTGTTACTAAGGTCCGGATAGTTTGATGGGACTTGGAAACTTAATAAATCGTTAGAAATCTTGAATAACTCAACCACCATTTTACCTTCATTAGATCGATTAACCAAATTTTTCTTAGATTCAAAATGGCTAAAGAGTACATGTAGGCCTAATTGATGGGAGTACTCATGGTCTATCAAAATTTTAAATATTTTTGGTGTAATAGGCTTTTTAATACCATTCTGATATGTCTAAAATCCTAAATGATTTTGATGTATCAATTTCTAAATGTCCGATTATATATGTTACCTATCAAACCCTTTTAAATAGGGATCTCATTTATGAAATCAGATCAAAAGTGACAAAAGCTTTGTGTTACCCTTCTTGATAATTATCAGATACCTCTAAGAAATAAACTGGACTTTCTATTGTGTTTTATGTGTGTTTGAGTATTTTCTCTAATTTAAAAATGAGACTATTCCATTGAATTTTAAAACTATGATTTTGTTATCCGAAATAAAAATATTATCTCTGATTTATGTTATTTGATACAAAAATATATTTGGTTCATGATTTATGATATTAATATTTTACTATTTTGAGTTGGTCGTTGGAGGAAGTATTTTAGGCTTCGTCTATGACACGTAAGATCTTACCGTAGGCTCTTTTGTTTTATGCACAGAGTAAGTCCTTACCACGGGTCCTTATGTTATATACAAAAGGTCTTACTGCAAGTCTTTATGCCAAATGCAGAAGATCTTTATCAAGTATACATATGGGTGTATGATTCAGGGAAATCTATACTTTTTGTTTTTTTGGATGATGAGTAGTCAGATGATTTTTAAAATTAATCTTTATCGTCTCTTAAAAAGTCTATTTTATTAAAATAAATTATTATTATTTCAAACTATCCATATGCTTTTCTCTATGCACTGATGGAACAAACTAGATTCTCCAACTTAATCTTCGTCGTCTATCTCTGTCTAATTCTTTCGATCCATAGATTTCCCGATTGTTACCTGGAGGATCAATTAATGAATTTCAAATTACATTTGAAACATATAGATGACTGGATTGTCACGAAGGATGTTGGACTTATATTTTGATATAACAAATATTTATAAAATTGATGTTGGACTTAATCAGATGTTTTAAATATAATTCAAAATCCAAAATAACTTGAAAAATATATTTTATAAATTGTTTTATATATAAGAAATGTTTTTTAGTTAATTAAAATATGTTTAAAGTGTTTAAAATGTGTTTAAAGCTTTTAAAATATGAAAAACACTATTAAATTAATATATGGCACTGTTCATGATATTATTCATACACATGTACTATTCATGAATAGTGAGTTTCGAAATTTTGCCCCTAAAACATTTTCAACAGCCCAATTTTCTTCAACGGTCATATTTTTAAGTAAGAGTTTTGAAACTCTCATCAAAGGCCAGTTCACCCCTCTATCGGTGATTTTTTGTTGATCAATCGAGCCTAACAAAGAATTTTATGCTTTGTCATATACCTAGGTGTGACTTGTAGCATTGTATTGTAGTAATGTATTACTGAGTTTTTTTTCAAACCTCACTCTATTACTTACCATTTCAAGTTAAAGAAATTGATTCATTGTATTTATCAACATCAATAATGGGAGTTCCACCGGCTTTGTTTGCAGAGTACGGTACATGTATACTTAGGGGTCATGTATGTCACATTTTGTTTTATATGAAAGTTTGAAGCTTGTTTTTATAATGTGAATTATTGAATTTTGTTTTAATGTATAAAAAATTTAATAATTTATGTTTTTATTTTGAAATTGTTTTATAGTTTTAATTTTGTTTGTCAAAATTTTATTTTCCTTTATTTTTAGTATGAATCACTCTGGTGATCCTAATGTGACACCTCGAATCGAATTGAGTCATCTATATAATAAGAGGGTGTTACAAAAAATGCATTCATTAAACTCGAATTAATCTAAATAGAAAAAAGTATACAGAATTTCAGTTAAGTTGATAATTTTCAAAAACAAAATCCATTCGGTTAACAATTAAAGAAAAAAGTTTGACTAATTTAATTTTGATTAACTCAATTTGATCACCTATCGTGATAAAATTAATTGTTTGAACACCCTAATTATAACTGCACTCGAGAAGTCTAGTATTTGTAGCTTAAATTTGAAACGATCGAATAAGATTTCAAAATAAAAAGGCAGATTTTCACCCCCAAACCAATAAAAAAAAATTAATAACGGGATTTCTAACAATAAGAATTAAGAATAAGTATTCGCGTAGAGTTATTCGAATTGACGAATTATATTTTATAATACAAATTTTATTTGAATTTTTTTTACTCAAATAATTTTTTTATAAAATTTGAATCAAGTCAAGTTATTTGAAATACTATTTAAATTTAATTATAAATATTTATAATATTATGGTAGTATTTTATTTCAATGTAAATTATTTTCTATAATCATATATGGTATACATATATATTTTTTTTCATATTTTTTATATGTGGTATACATATATCATGTAAAGTTGAGAGACTTGACTCGAACTTGAAAATCAATTTACTAATTAATAAAATATTAAGTTATTTGAATTATTCAAGTTCTATTTTATAATTCGATTCTATTTTGAATTTTTTTTAAGTAGAGTCAAATTTATAAAATTATGAGTCGAATCGAATCAAATTTATAAAATTTATTTTTTAATCGAGTTTTACTTACCTTAGAAACAGTGACAATGCTAAGTTTAATATTATTTCCCTTTAAAGTGTGAATTCAAATTTTAATATCTACCTTCAAAATATAATACTTCTCTACTTAATAAAATACATATATTTAAGGTGAGAGTTTGATCGAGTCGATTCGAGTAAAAAAAATCAAATTATTCAAGTATATGAGTCTTATTTTATATATCAAATTTGATTTTAAATTTTCTCAAGTAAGTCGATTTTATAAAATTCAAGTCAAATTTTCGAGTTTTTATTTAAATTTAGTTATAAATATTTATAATACTATGATACTATTTTTTTCATAGTTTAAATGGTCTTTTATAATTATACACAATATATACATATAGAGTTGAGACTCGACTCGAATTTGAAAACGAATTCATTAATTACTAAAAAATTTGAATTATTCGAGTTGTATTTTATAACTTGATTTGAACTTGAATTTTTTTAAATCAAGTCGAGTTTATAAAATTATAACTTGAAGTCAATTTGAGTTGAATTTTTTTTAAATCGATTCGATTAAAAAAATTAAAATTTTCAAATCGAGTCGAGTTTTACTTTATCTTATATATATTATTTTACAAACAAGAATTATATATCCAATATTCACCTCAGTTTATATAACCGCCAAAAACTGATTAACAAACGGTGTATGAATCCGCCAAGAAGGAAGGGGCACAATCAAGCAAAGCAAAACACGTGAGAATTATTATATATTTTACTATATGATGATAATGACGTAGTGGTGTTAGGTGAATGACGTGAAGAATTTTTGTAGTATACTTGTGAATATTTTTATTTATATTTATCTTGATAGTTACATTTAAGGTCGTATCAACAAATTATTTTTTTATTTACGTTAATTTATCAACCTGAATAAACAATTAAAAATTATTTTTCAAGACCCATTTAACAAATGAAAAAGTCGTCACACACAATTTAAAGAGGTCGATCTCGAACGTAATTTAAAATATTTTAATAAATATAAAATTAAACACGTAAATGAATAAACACGATGAAAATATATTTTATTATTTGATGCATAAATTATATAAATTTTAGTTTACACAATTTACTTATTTTAATCCTAAATCTTATAATACAAAATCTGAAAACTTAAACCCAGAAAAACTATATATATATATATATGCTGAAACTTCCGTACGTGAACACTCTCTATGTACAAGACCCATTACATTGGTTACCAATACCAATTTTTATTTAATATCTAATTAGAATTGAAGTGTCATTGGTGTGTTCAAAAGTCTCTTTTAATACGCGTGTTTGTTGAGAATTTTTTTAATGGAATGAGGACCTTTTTTGAAGGCATAAAATAACGACAAATTGCCCATCACAGCCACAGGCACTGCATTGCCATTTGATTAAAAAACAAAAGTACTGCACTGCCGTGGTAAAGGCTTCTTCAATGTTCACGAAGTATGTTCTTTTTGTTTGTGATTTTATTAGTCTTTTTGCCTAAGAATTTGCTTACGATAAAATTCCTTAGTTCATGTAATAGAAAAACAAAATACTCATTTGAAGTATATCTTCAGGAAGACACTTGAAAGATAAGATGTTTTTTTAAGATCGTGTCAAGCCTAAAGAATAACAAACCAACCAAAAGATATCCAGTGATCCAGGCATCAAAGACACTAAAAAAAACATCTTCCTCAAACGGCATGCAACCAGAATGTCAAACCTAATAAAATATAAATTCAAAAGAGGATGAGTGGTCCATCCATCTTCCCGAAGACATCAAATAGCCTGCGCGATTTCTTACCGACACTATAACAAACACTTTATCTCAACAAATATTCTTCCAACACCCTAAATAAATCAATTTTCTAAGAATTTTTGCCATCTGCTTACATATTTGAAATTTGAAAGTTGTAACAATAATCTCTGGATCGAGACAAGTTATTAAACTCAAGATAGTTGATAAAACTATAAAATCCAATGAACCCACCACAAGTTTCATATTACATCAACTAAACTTTTTTCCTTTAAATAAAAATAATAATTGCAACTAATAACTAGAAGAAGAAGAAACAGCTTGACATAAATGATGAACCTGCTGAACAAAAACCCAAAAACCAAAGAACAGCAGACTCAAAACAAGTCTTAAGAACAGATATCAACTACTTTCCTACTGCATTGATTCAACAGCTAAACCCAACCATGACTTTCTGTTTCCGGGCTCCGATGGTGAGCCGGACGTTGAGTTACTTAGCTGGTATGGAGCCTTTGAGGTGATCCTGCAAAACCAAACAGATCAATGAATCAACTCAAAATACTAGGATTTGTATGAACTTTTGGGTAGAAACAGAAATTACATCTCCAGATGCTTACCTATCCTTTCTCTTCTCGAGGAATCGATGAAGGGAAACCCTTCTAGCAATCGGTAAATCTGCAATACACGAAAACTAATAAGAAGCTATGTAAGACAAAGCATAATTCCGTTTTTTATCGAAGAAGAGGATGAGGATTACCGCCAGGAATGGGTCGCTGCTGAGCAGATTGAACGCATTCATGACTTATTGCATTGTTCCTGAGATTAGGAACATCGATTGAGGTCAAAGGAACTCTGATGCCAGATTTATTCGGACTTCTGGACATACTAGAAGTAAACATCGTGTTTGTTTTAGAATTCAGGTTGTTTTGGGAGTTGCACTTGGTGGCCATAAGCATGATTTCTTTAGCTTTATCGGCTGGGAAATCATTGAACACCACCACTTGTCCCCCGTAAAAGATAGTCATCGGTGCAGACTCCATCACAGCACACTTGTTCGAGCTATTAACAGTAGAATCGACCCTTCTCAGAGCATCGTCTGTAGGAGCCGGCAGGGAAAAACCAGATTGTTGGGGGGGGAAATCCATAGATTTCAAACTCCTCGGACCTCCAACATTCCCACCAGACATCTGATCCATAGGGAACAAATTCATGGTCGGTCGGACAATCTCCGGTGCCCCTGTAACATATCCATATCCATAAACAAATCGTCCATACCTCAGACTGTTCTTCAAATCAATACCCTTTTAAGATTCAAGTTTCAAGAACCTAACAGGTAGTGGTCATTTATAAAGAAACATCCTACCATTCTGTTGGGATCTAAACAGAATTTTCTGCTAAAAAACATGCATACATGATTTAAATCCCTGTCATTTCTCAGAAACCTTGAAATCACGCACATGGTTTAATTCTTCTAAACCAGTTTCCCGCCCCCCCCCCTCCCCCAGAATTGGGTGTTTTTTGGGGGAGACCGAGAGATTAGAGATTTAGAGGGCATGTTTTTTGACTGATTAAGCCATTGCAAATATGAATATGTCAAAATATAAATCTGATTTTGTGGATCTGAATTAAAAAAGCGCACAATTTTGGAGCTAAATTCAAGTAAACCGCCTCAAATTTTGAACTTCAAAAAGGGTAATTCAACAAAAAAGAGACAAACAAACTAAATAATTTATACAACTAGTTTTAAATCATAAATGAATAAGAAAACACAGTCGGAATTATAATTCAACGATTCCTCCTCAACTCAAAACTCAAAAAAGGAGATAGAAAATCATAAAAGAAATTGAAGAACTTACCATTAGCTTCAACGTTGCATGTCATTCCCAAACTTAGATCCCGGAAGCTACCTTTCTCCTTCAAGTACTGACCCAACAAGCTACAAGTTTGAGTAAAGCTTGTCTGCTTCGGCGAACTCGCCGTTTTCCGACCCATAAATTCCGGTGAACCCGACATACTACCGGCGAAAAGGGGGGAAAATCCAACTGTTTACCCACCCTGAAATTTTCAGAGAATTATAATTGGAAACCCAATACCAAAAACATTTGAAGGTAAAAGATCTGTGGTTGAAACTCTGATTCTTAAGCTTAATAAGAGGAAGGTCTTGAAATCTTTGAGAAAACTAAAGGGCGGGTTTAGAAGCACGAGGAACAAATGGGGGCTTCTTTTAAGCTTGAACTTTGCAACCTTTCTTTCCAATATTTTATTGTCTCGTTTGATTGGGACTTCAAACATGTGATTATTAACTATTATTTTTCGTCAAGGCCGATGTGTTCCCTTCTAAAACATGCTGTTCGATATTTTAAGATAACTTTAATGCTTATCCTGAATTTGCTTTTTATCCCTCATCAATAACGTTTAGGGTAAACTATAACAGATACCACCAACTATAGCATTTATTCATTTTAACCATCATTTTTGAATTCTTATCAATCAGATCACCCAATTATCCAAATCATTCAATCAGGTCACTATTCGTTATCAGTTAACAGAAGTGCCGACGTGGCAGTTAATAAATTTGATTCTCCAATTAAGTGGTGATACGTATCACTACTAGATTGGAGGATATTTTATTAATTTTAATTATTTATTTTATATATTGTAAAGAAATAATTTGCAACGATAAGGGATCGAACAAACATCCCAACGTTGAACCACCGGGTTAAACCCTTCACGAAGTATAATTTTACATTATTTCGTATATTATGTTTCTAACTGAACATAAGAAAACAAATTAAAAAGAAAAAATGCAATTGAAAGGATTCGACACTAAAACTTCAACTGGATTTGGGAGCAATCCTACCACTGCATCAACACTCATATTTGAATTATATTTTACAATAGAGAAAATAACCTCAGTGACCAAAAATCCCAGATAATATACGATTTTGATCAACTTTTTTTGGATTTGCGAAAATGACCAACAAAATCGCAATGCGATCTCTAATTCGCATTGCGATCTCCACTATCGCAAATTCGCGTTGCGATTTTCCAAATTCGTTGCGATAGTTAAAAAATATATTTTGTTTCTCTAAAAAGATAGTATCCACGCGGACGTGTCGAAGACACGTACTACCACGACCACGACCACTACCACGACCACGACGGCGGCGGCGGCGGCGCGCGAGAGTCTCCCTTGTTCTCTATCACTCAACAAGGAAGTGAGAAAGCCAAGCCTTAAATACTATTCCCAATAGTGTTTCCAATACTATGTGGGATTTGAGCATTACCAACACTTGTTCCCAATACTATGTGGGATTGGGCCTTAAATAGTGATATTATTTTTGAATGTTTTGCTTAAAATTGCAATAATCGCGATTGATTATAGATTGACTTTTAACTATGACATATTTAATCGTATAATACTAATGCAATTGGTTGCTAATTCAGTTGTTTTAAGGTGCATGATTGTTAATTGTTTCCTGAATAATCACATTGTATTGGAAACAAGTGTTGGTAATGCTCAATCCCACATAGTATTAGAAACACTATTGGGAATGGTATTTAAGGCTTGGCTTTCCCACTTCCTTGTTGAGTGATAGAGAACAAGGGGGACTCTCGCGCGCCGCCGCTGTCGCCGTCCGTCTCGGGTCGTGGTCGTGGTCGTGGTCGTGGTCGTGGTAATACATGTCTTCGACACGTCCGCGCGGATACTATCTTTTTAGAGAAAATTCTTAAGAAACAAAATTTTTTTTTAACTATCACAACGAATTTGGAAAATCGCAACGACAACTGTAGACTATCGCAACAACAACTGTAGACTATCGCAACGCGAAATGGAAAATCGCAACGCGAAATGGAAAATCGTAACGCGATTTTCAACTATCGCAACGCGAAATGGAAAATCGCAACGCGAAATGCAACGCAAATTTGCGATAGTGGAGATCGCAATGCGAATTAGAGATCGCATTGCGATTTTGTTGGTCATTTTCGCAAATCCAAAAAAGTTGGTCAAAATCGTATATTATCTAGGATTTTTGGTCATTGAGGTTATTTTATCTTTACAATATATTATATTTAGCTTCTATGGAAACAATAAAATGAATTAAACCTTGATTTTTTTAGAGAATATATAATAAACACCAAAACTATTTAAGCAAATTTAATTAATGTTTTATAAATATATACATTTTATATATTTTTAAAATGTATTTCATATAATATATATATCATTTCTTTCTATATAATCATAATATTAAATTAAATTTATTTATTTTTATAGAAAGTCGTTAGTTTTATTAAAAATAGAAAATATCCAAAATTACAATGAAGATTTACAAGCATAATCATAAACCTAAAATATAATTATGACATTTTTCTATTACTATAGAGACAAAAACTAGCCACCTAGATCACATAAGGACCAACGAAAGAAAATGTTAAAAAACCTAACAAAAAAGCTCGAACAAAATAAAGATACGAACAAATCTAACTGCATCGCAAACAAACCACAAAAAGGGATAGAGCTACTGAAATACCACTGACAAATCGCAAAACAAAGTCGAGCGACGTGAGAAAACTATCCACGAACGCAAAGCGCATATCCAAATCAATTCGATGGTCCAAAGCAGAGAAGATAATCATGGTAAAAAATAAGCGCCATCTTGATCAGTCGTGGCGAAGTCAAATTCATCCCTGAGAAAAAAGATAAACGAAAACAATGATAAAAATCGTACGCTACCAAAAAGGCAGAGAAAAACATGTCACGAAGACAGAGATAAATGTGTCATAAAGGCAAAGAACATGTCACGAATACAAAATTATTCTTATTAAAAATAAAAAATAAATAAAAAAAATATAACTGACGAGCGGTAACAAACATCAAAATCGATTCCATCGCCGGTTAAACAAAAGTAAAAAAGAAAAAGTTAGATTTATCAATAAAATTAATTCAAGTTGTAAAGAAGAAGAGAAAAAAAAGGAAGAGAGAGAGAGGAGGAAAAAAGTGGCTAGAGTTTTTTATAATGAAATTAAATTTATTAATTATATTTAAAAAGTTAATTTAATTATTATGTATAAAGAAACTATTCAAAATAAATATAGTAAAAATATAAAAATCTAAATTTTACTTAAAAAAATTTAATTTAATGATTATATATAAATATAATATTATAAATTTTAATCAAATATAAGGCTTGACTTAATGGCTAAAATGCTTGCATTCCCTCTTAAGTTTTTAAATATAATCCCTATACAACTATTGTTTTGAAAATCGGATCGGATCGATCGGTTCAACCGGTTCAATCGGAAATCGTTGTCTAGTCCGGTTTAATCTATACCGATTGAACCGCTATTAGTGAACCGGTCGGAACCACTAAACCGTTCAAATCGGACCGGCTAAAAACTGAAAAAATCGGAAAAACTGCCAATTTTGTTTTTTTTTTTTTAAAAATTTAAACCAAACGACGTCATTTGCTAAACGAGCCAAGTCGAACTCGAGTATCGCTGAGCTCGACTCGAACTTGAAAACTTTAAAAGTAAGCTCAACTCGACTCAAACTCACGAGCTAAAAATTATCAAGTTCAACTCGAACTCGAAATATAATATTGAAACTTGAACTCGAAAAGGCTTGAACTAAAAAAAAATTAGAAGCTCAATTGAAGCCTAAAATTCAAGCTTGATTGAAGTGAAAGAATAGTTCACTCAATGCTCACCAAAAGGCTCAATGATTTTGAATGACAAATTACCTCTATTATTTATAGAAGTTAGTTGAGATGCTCTTCTATGTTTCTTAGCCATATGGGATTGTTTTGTTCTCATATTTTTAATTTTTAGACTTTTGGGATGCTCTTCTATGTTTCTTAGCCATGTGAGATTGTTTTTAAAAAAAATTAATCCAAACAATATTATTTTGTTATGATTTTTTTTAGCCCTAAATTTATTTTTTAATTATAGTTATATAATTATATTTATTATTTAATATGTTTTACCTTAATTATTATGTTGTAGTTAATTTGAATCATTTTGTTTCACTTGATTTTATGGTTTGTAACTTATAAATGTTATGATTTGCTTTGAATATGACTTGTGATATAAAAAATTATTTTTTATTAAATATTTTTGGTATTTTTATTTAATTTTTTAAATAATTATGACGTCGTCCGGTTCTTCTGACCGGTCGAACCGGTTCGATCGGTTAAACCAGTGAATCGGTAACATGACCGGTTCTGAAACCATGTATACAAGCACGCTAAATTCTTTTCTTTATCTTTTTTTTTCTCTGCTATTAGTTATACAATGTTATATATGAAATGTTGTAAATTATTACTAGTTTGGGGGTTTAGCGTAGTGGTTTAGGCTATCTTAGTGAAGTAGTGGGACGTTGGATCAAATCACTACACAATTGCAAGCTATACTTATTAAATTGAATTAAATTCATGACCAAATGAAAAGATTATATAAATATTGAGGATCAATTGTATAATTATATCATTTTTATTAACTGTCACGTCGACACCTCTGTTAACTGTTAACGACTAGTGGCCTAATTGAGTGCATTTAAATAGTTGGATGGTCTCGGATATAGTTTACCCTATTTTTTATTTAATTTGCAATTAAATTAATATTCAAAACTACAGGTTTAATTTCTTTTGATTTAACTCAATCTATTAATTTATTTTAAATTGGAATTTTGTAAAAATCTATATTACAAGGTGATCATTAGGCCTGAAAACGAATCAAACGTTCAGCGAACCATTCGTGGACCATTCGACATGAAGTTCGTTAATGTTCTTTTATTTATTAAACGAATGGACATGAACAATATTTTATGTTCGTTTAATTAAATGAACGAACATGAACGAAGTGTTTGTTCGTTTATTTACGTTCGCGAAAATTCGGTAATCTATTCGTTTATGTTCGTTCATTTATGTTCGCTTATGTTTATTCGTTTATATTCAGTTCAACCTCCAAACTCATTTAAAATATTTGGACCTAATAAATTTTGACGTTAAACCCATTAATATTTTAAAATATAATTAATTTTAAACTAAAATAAAAAAAAATATTCAAATCAATTAAAGTAAATGTAAAGCCTAAAATTATTTAGAAATAAAAAAAATCTTCCACAATATAAATCAAATTAATTTTATGTTTGTTCATTTATGTTCGTTTATCATTTTAACTAACGAACATACTACATTACTTAATGAACGAACA